ATTAAGAAAAGTCGTGGCTCAGAGACAACTGGGTAGAGAAATTATAGTCTTTTACCCAGCAGTCTGTTGTTTAGGAGGTCAAACGTTCTTATTGTAACCATCAAAAGAGCGTATTTTCATCTGAAATTTTGCTTGGCCAGAACTGAACTACGTCTTTTTTTCCCTCCTGCAGCACCTTTTCCTTAAAGGTTTTGACAAAGCTGTAACCACCTTTGTCACTCGGTTGGGTGTACTTGGGGCTGACCATTTCCCTTCCCTCCTTGACACAATACACTGCCTGAACCAGATCTTGCCTCTGCTTTCTCCTTGTCACCAGAACTGTATTTTTTTTTTCTGTGCCATTGCCTATAAAGTTCTTTCTCTATTGTGATTTGATTATCAGAAACATCCACACTTCTTGGGCTTTTAGAGACACGAACACTGGGCACTTCTTGAGCACTTCACTGAGCACTGTCCATCTTCTCGAGGAGCTTTTTCTTTTGGAAAGGCTGAGATCTGCAGTGAAACTTTACCTGGGCTGGGGAAGATGTTCCTCAGCGTTTCTTGGTGCTGTTAATTCTGTGTGTATCTCCAGCTAATGGCTCTGTCAGCGGGTTAGCTGAGTCTTTAAGTGCGCTCCAGCCCCACTCTGCAAAGATGGACCCCACATAAGTAGAGCTTTCTTCACGCTGGATTTTTAGACTGATCACAGTGAGAACAGCCTAGAAGAGATCAGTCGCCTGTGCCTGGGACTAGGACAGCCGCCTAGCCCAGAGATCTGCTCCAAACAACTGATTGCCTTGGACCCTTTCCGAAAAAGGCTCTACAGACACGTATTCCTTCAGTGAACTACCAGAGATGGAGGCACATTGCCAGAAGAGCCAGCTGCATTTGGGATTAGATGGCTGGAAAGAAGTCCTCTCTCCATCTTCAAAACGAAATCACTTTTTAACATCTGCTGCAGAGAGTTCTCGTGACTCGCGGTTCCACAATAAAGTGTTCTCTTCCTTCTCTTTCCTGTTTCTTTGTTAATTAAGGTTATTTTCCTTCCCCTTCCTCACCCATTGTGTCTCCAATATATGTTTTCTACTGGACAGGAGCGGGGGTGTGTGTCCTTTTTCTATCCACTTAATGGGGTTTTTGTCTCTTGAAATCTCATGATAACTGCAGCAATTTTGCACTCAGCAAGGTGAGCGTACCCCAGATAACCTGGCAGGATCTGCCTGCACTCAGAAAATTGCTTGGAGAGAGGACTTCCTCACTAAGCCTCTGATTTATTGTTATTTCAGCGCTAAATGAATAATGAGAAGGTTTAAGTAAACAGATGGGTTCGATTCAAGCCCATCATACCAGGGGTGTGGGGGGAGAGGAGCTGCTTGTCCTGACAGCTCATCTCATTAGGCCACACGTGGTGTGAGGTGTTGAAAGCAGTTTATCATGTGTAATGCCTGGGCATGATGGGGTGAGCTGGGGATCAAGTGTATCTCTGTCTTCCCCTTAATTCTTAATATTCCAAAAGATTTCTATAGTTCTCAGGTGCAAGCTAAGTATTTGCAGCTCGGGGTGTTTGAAGTTGTGTTACAAAAATCACCTCTTTCCTCTCTTTCTTCCACAGTCTCAGCTGCCGGCGATGTATTATTGTGGGAAATGGTGGAGTACTTGCAAATAAGTCATTGGGGTTAAAAATTGATGACTATGATGTTGTTGTCAGGTGAGTCTTTGCCATCACAATTTTCTTGTCATGCATTCAGTTTCTGTATCACATGCTATGCAGGCAACGGTCAAGCCTACACTAATGACAATATCTGGAAATAGTAACTAACATGGAGGGGAAAAAACAAAGAGCATATAAGTGTTTATTATAAATGGTGATCACATCCAAGGGTAAAGGCACTACTCAAGCATTCTATTTTCCACAGCTGTTTGGGAATGTGCTCTCTCCTGTGATCCCACTAACACCTTCTCTTCGTAGCCCCTTCTAAAAGCTGCTTCTTTTGTGATGCCCTTAGGTGGTGAAGCAGTAAAACGTACCATTAGATCTGCTCCCAGATACATCCCCTAAGTAGCTCAGGGAAGTATTAGTGGCCATACGTGTGTAGCATTCCCTGGGACCCACACTTGGCAGTTAGAATGGGAAGAACTAAGAACAGTGCAGTGTAGGGTCTAAGGAAGCAGTAAGCCTCCATGAATGAAGATCCAGTAATGATTAAAGACCTGTAGGTGCATCCTAGAAGCTGTGAATACTTTGCCTCTGCTTCACGATGTTGAATAAGGGAGCAGAAACAGAGTGGCACAGGAGTGGAAACAACCACAGTCAAAGTTAGGACTTCTTGCTTTTGCTGAGGACCTGGATCATCGCCATCTCAGAATGCTTGAAAAACGTGCTGATATGTGAAATCACAGGTCATAACTCCTAGGAATAAATCTGTCAAAGTCAGGGAGGTGTTCTGGGTGACTGGAGATTAACAAACATAATACCTGTACTAATGGAGAGTGAGAGAGAGTGTGTATGTAGGAGGGAGGGTGGACGTGCTCTAGGGAGCTACAGACCCATTAGTTTGCATTGAAAAAAATGCAGGGCTTTATAGCAGGTTCTGAATCATGAGTAGCAAAATATTACGATGGTAAATAGGAAAAGTGGGATAAACCGCAGTGTAAGTTTTTTAATCTGGCTTAACATAGTCTAAGCTGGTTTTTTTTTTTTCCTTAGGAAGAAAACTGATTTCATATTCAAGGGACTGTAACTGATATCATCTCTCTGAACTTTAGTCAACCATGAGACATGGTGGCAAATAGCAAATTCTTAGCTAAGGTGGAAGAAAGAAAAGGATTAGTAAAAGAATTTAAGGCATAGAGAAGGTATCATTTAGCATGGTCTCCTTTCTCTCCCGTGGGCTAGTAATGGGCATATGAGGAAAGAACAGGATATACATAGGGTAATAAATACCCTCTAACTCTGGACAAAAAGACCAAGAAGATCCCTTTCAATCCTTTGTTCCTGTGAATGGTTCCCTGCTTCCCCGACAGTGCTCTGGACACAGGGATGACTGTTCAGAACAGGACAAAACTTTCACAGCCCTTCTCCTAGTTCATCCCACTATCAGTTGCTAGCGAAGAGCTCTTACTGCTCATTATAGTCTGGTGACTTGCAGTTATTTGAGCTGAATTAAAATTCAGTTACAGCCTCTTCTTAGGCTCAGACTGTTCAAAAAGTAGCAAGAGAACAGTTTCAATCTGTCTGGACTATAAGCCACCCACTAAGATTTACATCAGAAAGTCCACTATTTAAATTCCAAATGAAAAGTTCAACCTTTTCTCTCCACATCAGTAAATCTAAGTCAGTTTGCAAGCTGAGAGGATAAGAGGGCAGTTAAGCACCTGTGCTGTTTGTGGGATGGATAAAGGAGAGAAAAGTCAACTGTAAAGGTTAAATGAAGCCAGGTGCTTGGATGTGGGACTGAGGAGGTGAGAGCAGACTTCTTAAATGTATCCAACTGCTTCCTTTACTCCTGGGGAAGACCCTTGTGTATAGCATCCTTTTTCATGGGTTGCAAAACTCCTTCGAAGGATCAGATTTGGAACCTGGGAGGTGAATTTTAAGGGGAAAAGTATGGTACATTTGTGAACAAAGGAGTAATCCAGCAGTACCTGGAGTTTTTTGAGGCATTGCCTGTTGCCATGTGAGGATTGCTAATTGCAGCAAGAAATTTTGATCTTGTGGTGAAGAGAGTCAGATCAGCTTTGACAGTTATAAAACAGCTTGGAGTGAGTTACTTACCGGGGTGGGGGGGGTGTGTAACTGAATTTCAGTGCAGACAGCATTCCCAGCTGCCAAACTGTTTACCTGGCAGGAGCTTCTTGTAGCAGTCAGTCATCAGTGTTCTGAAATGCCTCCTTAGAGTTGCAGACAGGGGAAAAACAAGTATGTGCCAGAAATTCCTGGTTAGAATGAGATGGGCATTCACTTGATTGTGGTATTTGGGAGGGTCTTCATGGTGCCTAGGTTAGGAGTTAGCATCTCTAAGCCCCCTGTGTCATCAGCAGATACAGACAGAAAAACAGTCTGAAACCTCTTGTAGAGAAAACTGCCTATCCATGGGCAGTGCAAGGAAGCCTGGCATCCTAACTGAGGTTTTCTAAGATTTAGCTGTGTTTATAACCACCAGCATGTCCTGCCTGAGAAAGGGTTCAAGCTGTGTAGCATGCACCTTCGTGAACACAGGTTGTGGCTGCCAGAACTTTCCCTGCTCCATTGCCTGCGCTGCCCCTGGGGCACCGACCCTGGGGCTGACAGTGCTGGCTCGTTAGCAGGACTCCATCACTAGGACTCCATCAGCAACTCACATCTCACATTCTGGCCCTTTGCTGGAGACCTGAGTTCATTTTACTTGGGGAAATGGTTTGTTTTGTTTCCTGTCTAGATGCAAAGTAGGGGTCCCAAGTTTGGGGAGCTTTAACAAAGTAAGCAGCAAAACAGCAAACCCAGCAGCTGGGGGTGGGGAAAACCCTGCCAAAGAGCTACACATTGATATTTAAAATGACTGCAGATGCTAACCTTTCCCTCGTCTTCAAGAAGACAGATGAAAATATGTATAACTAGCTTTCTTTACATAGTACTTTGTTTTATTTATCTCTGTTACCTTCAGGGCCACATGCTTTTACGTTATGTAGGCTCATCTACCCCAAAGAGACACAACACCGTGAAGTTTAAATTATGTCCATAGCAAAAGTGAGTGATGTGTGAATGCGCCATCAGCAACAGGGGAAAAAGCAAGGGATTAGGCTGGCTGGGAGCACTGTTTTTGCAGCCAAACTGGTCTAGATACCTGAGAATCAGGGTACAAAGTGAGGGTTTATAAACCACAAAGAACCACTTCCATCTCCTGTATAAATTGTGGTGGTGACGATTCTTAAGTTGTTTTCCCTTTAATATTTTATTCCTAATGATTAAGTATTTTACTAAAAATACATAGGCATTTATTCTCCTTAATTCTGAATAGAATTTCAGATTGTATACAGGGATTTTCTTCTACTAAAAGGTTTCCCACCTAAAATGCTTACCCGGGCTGAAAAAGACAAATCCAGATCCTTATTAACATTCCTACACAGCAAAATTTGCAGTCCATAAGCACTTTCCAGTATATTGAACTACCCCAAGTCAAGAAGGCTGCAATAATTCAAGCAGGCAATGCTGTTCCGTCAGGGGCTGCTGTTTGATGTCAGCAAGATTTGTACTCCAAGTTACTTGAAATTTCCTCAGCTTTGGCTTTCTAGTTTTGAATAGAAGTTCTGAATAACTTTAATGTCATGAAAGTCATCATTGCTGTTGATACCAGAGCAGTCTGGTTTTTGAAGGGGAAAAAACTTCGTCCCTGGAGGGGTGTTTTAACAAAAGCACAGCTAAACACACAGCATTCCCTTAGAAATCAGTGTGCCCAAGAGCAAAGCTGTGTGTCTGCTTGGGTGTTTTCAGAGCAGGATGCATTTCCACAGCAGAAACTCCTCCGAGTCAGTGAGACCACAGCGCTGCTGAGCCTCACCCCAGCTGCGCAGCCCAACTTCGTCCTTTGCATTGGCACTGCAGGGCAGCTCACCTTCTGGGTGGGACAGTTTGGGGAATTAAACCAGGTAGAGATTGTTCCTTTGGTTTGTTTGAAAATTATTAGCTGGCTTAGTTCCCTAAACAGTCTCACTGCACGTAAGATGAGCAGTGTAAGCTCTGGGCTGGGGTTGGAGCATGAGACCAGTTTCAGTTTGCTTAAACTGCCATGGAGCTGCATCCTCTGTTTCAGCACGGTCTTGCAGAATCCAAGTGAGATACCCCAGGAGCGATGGGATGTTAAAATATTAATGCTTAGTTTGTAACTCTAGATTTGCAAGGACAATATTTTTCAGTTTCCTTTTCCAAAGCTTCCGACCCAATTTAAATCATAAGAGGTGATGTGCAGAAGTGGTTTGCCTTATGTTCAATGAAATAATTTGAATAGCTTCTAATTAAACTGTTATCACGAGGTATAAAGCTTCATAAATGTGTGTGACGGAGAACTGCAAGAGTTAACGTTTGCTGCTGTAACATCTGTGTACAGGGAGCCTTTGCCCAGCAGCGATGGCTGTATCATCAACGCGCATGAGTGTAAGCGGGAATCCATGACAGTGTCTTCTCTGGTTGCCTTGCAGGCTGAACTCTGCTCCAGTGAAGGGCTTTGAAAAAGATGTGGGTGGCAAGACAACTCTCCGGATCACATATCCTGAAGGTGCAATCCAGAAAATGGAGCAGTATGAGAAGGATTCCCTGTTTGTTCTGGCGGGATTCAAATGGCAGGATTTCAAGTGGCTGAAATACATTGTTTACAAGGAGAAAGTGGTAAGAACGCTGTCAGCTGTCACTGTGAAGGTCACCTAATTAGAAACAGTGGGCAGACGTGATATCACAGTCATATTTGCCACATTTTGGTCTGAAGAGAGTTCTCTGTGTGTCCTGCTGCATTTGAGTAAAGGTCTTTTCCAATCTAAATGATTCTATGGTTCTTTATACATCCACTGGGTTGACTGCCTTTTGCACAGTGGCGTGGGACTGAGGGGGAGTGTCCAGTTCCTTGAGACTCCAGGTCTCAGGAAGAACTGAAGAGCAGCTACCTCCCCGGCTCCGCACCCTGTGCTTGTGCCGTTGGCTCTTCCCACCAAAGAGCATCACCATGCACTTGGCCCTACCAATTATTTCTTCCAGAAGACTTCTCTAATTTGCCAAGTTACTTTGGCAGAGCTTTCCAGCATACCTGCCATTCTTTCCAGATTCATGTCCTCTGCAATTTAATCAACATCATTTTTACTTCATCATCCGGGTTGATAATTAAAACACTAAACAAAGTTTGTTCCTAGGCAGACCTCAAAGTAGCAACATCCTTCCATTTCTGCAGTGACCCCACTGAGAACTCCTCCTGGATAGTTTTTTGGCCGCTTCTGAACTTGTGTCACAGTAGTATCATGAATAACATTTTTAGGCATGTTTGTGAAAGTGATATGTCAGAAGCCTTACTGAATTCCAGTTTATGTCTTACTTCTCCCCATGATACTTTTTTCCTGTATAAAGAAATACTACTATTTTTTTTCCTCTTGATAAATCCATCTGGGTGACTACTCAGTCTTCATTATTTTTTTTCAGGTGCTTACAAATAAGTAATCTTGCTATTCTGAGAATCAAAATCAAAAATTAGCTCTCTTCCCTTTTTTTGCCTTCTTAAGGCTAGGCACTACTTCTGTCCGCTTTTCAATCCTTTGACACCCTACCTGTTCTACCCAAGTTCCCAAAGGGGATCATTGCTGTTTACTGAGGCTGCTGAGCCAGTTCATTGAATACTTCAGGATGCAATCCAGGTGACTGGGAAACATCTGTCTTGTCCTCTCTAGTCTGACTTCTCTGTATTTGAGGCTGAGATCTTGCTGTCACTGGCTTTAGCTGCAAGCAGGTGGCTAGCACAGCTGCTTTTTCTAGTGGAAACTGATGCAAAAAGTGCTGTCTCTTAGCTAAAAGAAATGACCCGATAGAGAACTAACAGTGCTATGGGAATAAGATGTAGGCGTCTATTTGTTCTGGTAGTGAGTGTTAGTATTTTTATCAGTTTGTGGTAAGTTCAAAATGACAAATGCCTGCCCAGTGCTCTCTGTGGAGAGTTTCTGTTTCTCTTTCAGCTGATTTTCCAGAGAAAAGAGTGTTTCTTCCTTTCCTGGATTCATCTAGAGGCACTTGCTTGACCTAGGAGCTCTGTATGCCACTGTTGCTTATTCCTAATCTGACGTTAGGCCTGTCCCTCTGCAAGACTTCATCCCAGCTGCAAACCAGTGGTTACAGTCAGGAGTCTGACCTCAGGACGGAGATAAGGGAAATCGAAGCACCCTGATAAAGAATGTGACTGCTGTGAAAGTGGACTCAAAAAAAAAATGGGCTGAACTCTGCCCTCTGATGGTTCTTTTGCCCCTGAATGTTGATGGCAACTGCATGTGTCCATGGTACAGTCACAGGTGGGGTGTGAGACTTTCTGAATTCCTTCAGGCACCAGACCTGGAGCTGCTTGGACCTGCTTGACCAGAGATTCTGGGCCAGGTAGAGAATCACAGAATGTTCTGGGTTGGAAGGGACACCTACAGGTCATCTAGTCCAACCCCCCTGCAGGAGCAGGGACACCGCTAACTAGATCAGGTTGCTCAGAGCCCCATCCAACCTGGTCTTGAATGTTTCCAGGGATGGGGCCTCCACTACCTCTCTGGGCAACCTGTTCCAGTGTTTCACCACCCTCATTGTAAAGAATTTCTTCCTTATATCCAGTCTAAGCCTATCCTGTTTTAGTTTAAAACCATTACCCCTTGTCCTGTCACAGCTAGCCCTACTGAAAAGATTTTCCCCATCTTTCCTATAGGCCCCCTTTAAGTACTGAAAGGCCGCAATCAGGTCTCCCCGCAGCCGCCTCTTCTCCAGGCTGAAGGTACTAGGATCCTTGCTTAGTCCTCTCTTGCATAAGTGAAATCAAGGGGAGTTTATCTGAGAAAGAGTAAATGAAAGGTGAATGGCTATTTATTGCTGGGGTCAGTGGTCAGATAAGCTTATTCTCCCTGCAGCTGAAAGGGATTTGCTCTGTGTTATGTTAGTCTTTTGGCAGCACTTGCATACTGAGGAAGGGATAAGTGCTTTGTAGAGAGGAGGATTTTTAGGAGATGTTATGAGGAAAAAGAATCGTTGTGATGCAGAAGCAGCAGCAGAATGGTGAGGCAGAGGATTTGATGTGTTACATACAGTCTGGTGCAACAGCATTCTGGAGATCTGCATGATGCCTCGGTGCCCTGGGAGGCACTACATCCAGAAAGAGGAGCAGTGGAATTAGGGAGCAAAGAAAAAGTAAAAGCTCAGCTGCTTTTTATTTCACACTAAACCAGAAATACCTGGAAGCAAATAAAAACTTGAGAGAAAAGATTAATCTAGAAAAAGGACAGGTTTGGCTAAATACTCAACATTAGCAGCAGAACAAAGGTGGTCTCCATCCTAGAGTTGTGGGTGAGCTGGCACTCCAAATTGCAAGTCTTGTAGCAAGTTAGGGCAGTACTCTATCACTGGAGAGTATAGACCTGCCTTTAAGAAGGAGGAAGGTGGGTGAATCTGAGCAACTAAACCCCTGGTAATCTGATTTCAGTCATTTGGCAAGCATTAGAATAATCTGAAGGAGAAATTAATTGCACTTGTTGCTAGCAAATGGGAGAAAAGGCATGCGGGATGGAGAAAGGTGACATGGTTAGCAGAGGGGAGTATTGCACCATGCTGACCTAATATGTCGATGTACACGTGGAAAGGAAGTGGGTTGGAGTCCCACAGCCTGCAGTCGCATGAGCCCCTGGTTATTGCAGAAGGGTCACAGATGTGAGCTGTTCGTGCGTCTGTGGTGACTGCTCTGGCAAAGCTGACTTGCAGTCGTTGCTGTGAGAGCCTGCTGACACTTCCAGGCACCCCTCCTCTGATGAAATGGCTGCTGCTAGTGCATCCCAGGGGATGGATTACTCATGGACAGTCACTCGTTTACACTCTCTCCTGGTCTGTTCTTTTTGCCAAGAGACATTACCCATACGTATCATGATCCACCCTGCCTGGTTCCCACTATTGCACCATCCTGCATCACCCCGGATCTCTCAGTGACAGCAGCTCTTCCTGAATACCCAAAGTACCAGAGGAATTGTAGGGGGAGGGAGATTTGGCCATATACTGCTTTTTTCTATTAAAATAATGGTCAAAAGCTGAAGGTTTCACTATTGCATGGAGAGTAGATGCTCCCTGAAACAGAATCACAGAATCACAGAATGGTAAGGGTTGGAAGGGACCTCAGGAGATCATCTAGTCCAACCCTCCTGCTAAAGCTGGTTCTCTTAGAGCATGTTACATAGGACTTCGTCCAGGCAGGCTTTGAATATCTGCAGAGAAGGAGACTCCACAACCCCCCTGGGCAGCCTGTTCCACTGCTCTATCACCCTCAAAGTAAAGAAGTTTTTCCTCATATTCAACTGAAACCTCTTATGTTTCAGTTTGTACCCATTGCCCCTAACAAACAGAGGAATTTACAAGCACCAGCTATGCAAACCAGCCATCGCAGCCTGGCGCTGAGGCTGGTTCCAGGGTGGGTTTTTGCCCATCATTAGTGACCCAGAAGGAGCTCACTTGCTTGGTAGGGCTCACTTCCCTGAACATCTGGTGCATGGTGGTAAAGGAGCCAAGTGAGGGCAAAGGTTTCACTAGAAATTGGCAGCTCACAGTCTTCCTTCTCATGTAGTAATGAGCCTGTGGATGCTTCTAGCAGGAATCTCTGCAGCCTTTGCCAGGAGGAATCACTTGTGCAGTAAGCGCCTGGGACACTTTGAAGCTCTCTTTGATAATGAAAGTTATAGGAGCGAGTGAGCAGGTAACCTGCCTGTGAGCGAGGCCACGTTCAGTTGTCTGACCCTTGCAGGGGCATGCCTTTGACAACTTGCACACATCAGTGATGCCATCTGAAGAGCAGTCGTCCTCCAGCAGATGTTGAGACTCCAGCAGTGGGCACGACGTAACCCCTCCTCTTTTGTGAGGATGTGACTGCTGCTCGTGGAGATCTTGTGGATGTGGCAGCAGTGGGGATATTTTTTAACCTTTTATTTGAGAACTACATTTCTGCTTTGTCAACAAGTTACTTTTAGTCCTGCCAAAATGTACGTTACGATACCTTCCTGCCTTGATCAGCCTGTGTTACTGTGCTAGTGCCACAGCCGGACTGCAGCCAGAGCCTTCACCGTATGCTGAGCTTTTGTTTAGAGCTTCTCTTCTTCCATTAGTTAATAGCTTTGTCATGCTTTGTGTTTGCTAGGGCAGATCGTGAATGTCACAGCCTTGTAGTAAACTGCAGATTCCTTGGATTCTGAAATAGCCTTGCCTGTGCGTTGTTTTGCATCCCTGAAAAAACCCTGAGGAGCCACCGTGCTCCTCCTGTCAGCATGAGGAAAACAGTGAGGCCGTGAATTTGTTCTTGCTGTCCAACCTCAAGTAAAGCTTCACCCACATGCATGTATTTACAACTTGTTTGGAACTTGAGCCCAGCAGGCGGTTTCTCTGGATCTGGGCTAGGGAGGGAGGTCCTGCTTTTTCCAGTGCTGTCACTCGCCTTTGGTGGCCACTGCCCCTGGCAGCTTCACTCCAGAGTCTGCTTTTGGATTGCAAATATTTTCTTTCCCTTTCCTCTTCCCAGGGTCTTGTTGCTTTAAAGTACTTTGTATACAGTTGGTCTCTTCAGTTTTTAAAGGACTGTGAGAGGAGCTGTAAGTCCACCGCTAGTTGCCTTAATGCATCATGAATGCAAA